CAACCGTGTCTTCGATGTCGACGCCACCGGTGAACGAGAAGAGCACGCCGGAATGTGTAGAGACGCGTGTGATACAAGGAGAGCCACTGGAGCTGGATGCCGAAGCGCAGATCACTCAAACTGTACAACCGATGCAACTGACGCCGCCCATCGAAACGATACGACAGGTCGACGAGATAAAGCAAGAACCAGTTGAAGTCAAGCAAGAAGACACGGCGGACGAAACTAAATACAACATAATTGAATCCGAGAAACCTTTGAGTCAACCGTGCGTAGAAGATGACGTAAAACCGAAACAAGAGAAGCAAGAGGTAATTAAAACGGAGATCGCGCCGTGCGTTCCTAAGGCCGAAGTTACCGACGTCGTCGTACCGAAACTCGAGACGGAAACTCCTATAAAACTGGAGCCTACGAATGACGTTAAGGAAGAGGAAGCTGTCAAAGAGAACGATGAGGTGGAATTGGACGAAGAGCCAGCGGAAGATCCGTTGAAAGAGCCGAGCACGGATCCCCTCGCTATCGATTCCAAAGAAGATCCAACCGATAGCAAAGAAGACAGCGATTACTGGTCGGCGAAGGAGGTGAACATCGAGAGCGTCATAAAGAAGGTCGATGCTCTGTGCGACGGTGAAGGTAACGACGGCGATGACGAGGCGCAGCAGGCCGACAGCGCGAACAGCGACTCGCACGACACCAGCAAGAACGAATCGGATTGGTTCGATACGGAGTCAACGGAGGGCGAGAGTAAGAAGAGCTTCGTGTCCGCCGAGGATCACGATGAAAGCGTGGAAACGTGTGAGAACGAATCTACGAGGAGTCGTCGCGGCAGGACGAAAAGTAGGCGCGGCAGTCGCGGTGGGGTTACCACCAGGCGAGGTGGCAGAAACGCGGCCGCCGTCTCTCACAGACGAGGCGGCAGAAGTCCAAGAGGCAGTAAGCATCATGTGGAGAAGAATAAATTGCCAGCCGACGTTTACGAGTTCCACGACGACAGCGAGGAGGACAACGCCGGCCGTCCGCGACTGATTCTCACTATTAAGTCTCCAGGACCGAATGTGACGGGAACGAATGCGCAGCCAGCAACGCCCGTGGCTGCAGTCAAGGAAGTGCCGCCGGAGGAGTTTGTCTCGCCCGCTGCTAACACGAGAAAGTCGAGAAGATTGGCGGAGAGGGACGGCAGTCGCAATACGGTGGACGACGTCATCGAGGACGTTGTCCGTGGATCGCCGGTGAATAAATTATTGAGCGGTAACGCCGGGAACGTGCACGCGACTAGACGAAGTACCAGACACAACAATGCTCCGCGCAACACGACGCAGCAGCCTGCCATGCAGCTAACGGAACTCCGCAAGTCGCCTAGGGGCAGCCGCAAAGCAGCGAGACGAATATCCGAAAATAACGATGATAGCGGAGAGGAGAAGGCGAAGGAAGTAGCAGCGGTGCCGCAGGAGAGTCCGAATAAAGAAGAACCGAAACTGGCACAACCGGAGAGTCCGAAGGCGGAAGAATCGGCTCAAGCTGCCACGCCAGCTGCGTCGCAGAAGGCGGTGTCGCTCGAGCCGATGACGTTGATCGATCCAGTCACCGGAATGCTGATACCGATGAGAGAGTCCGAGGAAGGTCAGTACATACCGGTGTCCACGACATCCGGCCAAGCGCAAACCACCAACAGAACACTGTGCGAATCTCGAAGCGGCGGATTGATCAGCGCAAGTCCGACCAACGAAGCGCCGCGAGCGAAAGCCGTTCCCGAAAGTTCTCTGCCGGCGCCCGCCGAGCCGAAGAAGGAAGCCATCGTGGAGCACACGCCTTGTCAACCGACTCAGCAAGTTCAACCGCAAACTAGTGTGATCACGAAACCGCAATCGCCGGCGGTACAAGTCACTCCTACCATCACTGTTGCGCAATCTTCAACAGCAAGCACGACTATTGTCACCAACGTGACTGTAACGGCCACGCCGACTACGGCGGCGCAACCGGTGCTCACTTCTTCCCCGCAAACGAAACCTACGAGCTTTAAGGCGCATGTGTTGAACGCTAGCAAGCTAGTGACATCTTCTCAGCAGCAGCAGGTTGTCATCACGAAACCGGCTCCGAGCCTACCGAATCAAACGATAGTGCAGAACATCGTCAAGCCGCCCGCGCAAGCGATACAAGGTCTCAATCTGCAGATACCACCTGGCAGAGTCGTGTCGCCCAGCCTGAGTCCGCGTGCGAAACAAACGGCGCAACTTACCTCAGCAAATGCGAAACAAGGACAACCCATGTCCCCTGTACTCAACAACACCGGGGTACCGCCTAATCCTAAGCAGCATCTTCTGCAAGCCGCCAAACAGCAAACATCGACGATAGTGAATATGTCGCACAAAATATGCATCGCCGATTTGTCGCCGATAAATATGCATCCCGCCAATGTGAATGTTACTGCCTCGTCGCCAAGAATTCATCAACCGGTCTCACAGCCGACTGCTCTCAAGGGTATCAATGGACAACCTCATCCGCTCAATCCGAAAACGCACTTGCTGCAGGCGGCAGTCCCGATTGTCACAGTAACAAGTTCACCTACGCAACCGCATCTCGTCAATCCGCAGCCGATTTCAACCGGTGTGAGCAATGTCCGACCACCGGGACCGAAAGCTCCTGTACGCACACGTTCATATTTAATGAAATATTTACGATTATATTCAATTTTGAAATGCTCAGATAACAAGAATTATAAGCTCAGATAATAAAAATTATGTAAGCTTTAATTAATATGGAAATTTATTTCAGATCACAACAATGGAGTCACAAAAAGTAGAAGTACCGATGTCTGGTTGTATTATGGTGCCCACAGCAAGCCCGCAAAGTCGTAATGTGCCAATGCCGACATATGAAGCACCGCTGGTAAGCAATATTTTTAATTTTATATATATATATTTATATAATATTTTTAAAATTTTTCTATTAATATAATTCGTATACATTATAAATACTGTGTAAATTGTGTCTTTGAATGAAACAGAATAATTAAACTGATCAACGATACGTTAAAAATGTGTTAAATGCACTAATTTTACTCGGTTTTAATTAGCATGGAAGCACGGGTGCTACTCCACCAGGGGGTCAGTATGGTCTCGTCCCCCCGCATCGATCCCAGAGTCCTCCATTGCCTCCACCTGCCCATCATCATTCTAATACTTCACAGGTACTTACTTTCTAATATTCTTGCAATACATTCTTAAAATGAAACGCTCTCGTGTGATTCACATCAAATGCAGCTTTCAAATATTAATCACAATTCTCTTGATATTGCATGAAATATTAAGAATCGTAAATTATTGGTAAACAATTTTGACAGTGTTAATAATTTTGCTCTAAATAATGAAATATGAATGATTCTTTTTTTCAGAGTGAAGTTGTCAATCATTACGGAGGATTAGGCCGAGGTGGAGAGCTACCTCACTATCTGCATCCTCAAATGTTGCAGTATCAATATCTGCGTGCACAGCAGGAGGCGTTAACGGCTCCTCGCATAGCTTATCACATTCCAGGAACAAGATCTCCGCACTTACCTTTGGATCCGAAACACGATACTGGCATAGAAGACAGTCACAGTCCTCCCTTAGAATTGAGACGAGGAACGAGAACACCTCAGGATCGTACTACCGACAGTCCACAAGTTGCTCAAGTTTACATGTTACACGCAGGGGGCGTGAGGTTACCACCGCCTCCACCGCAGTACAACGCGGGAAGTAATCCATCGCTACCAGCCGGTGCTAGAGCGGGTTATTACGAACCACCGCCCGCTCATTTACGTTCTCAATATCCCATGGCTGCCAGCGAAGCGCCGCCTGAGATGGGCAGAGCCACAACGCCGGAGAGATGTAGGAAACGTCAGGCCCTCACACCGCCGCCGCCGTATGCGTCTCAGGTGCCGCCGCCGCAAGCGGACTCGTTTCAGATGCTATTGCAGCGTTACCCGGTTATGTGGCAAGGTTTATTGGCACTCAAGAACGACCAAGCAGCAGTACAGATGCACTTTGTCTTTGGTAATCCTAACGTAGCTAGGGACAGTCTCCCTTGTAATAGCGACGGCTCCACACCACCGTTGAGAATAGCCCAAAGAATGAGATTAGAACAAACACAAGTTGAAGGCGTGGCAAGAAAGATGCAGGTACGTGTCGTGATTTTTTCGCGATTAAAAGATTTGAAAGATGCTTTAAAAGATTTATACAAATAAAAAATTTTTAAAACATGAAAAGTTGGCTATATCTTATATATGAACAAATTCTAAATAAGATTTCTAATTTTTAACGTAATCAATTGCCTTTCAGACTGACAATGAACATTGCATGCTGTTGGCATTACCTTGTGGTCGTGACGAAGTAGATGTATTGCAACAAAGTAAAAATCTTCAGACAGGATTCATCATGTACCTCCAACAAAAGCAGGCTGCTGGAATCGTAAACATTGCTGCACCCGGATCACAACAGGTGAGACAAAATTATTATTACTTTATTTACGAAAATATATATACACAATGTATATGGATCTTGAAAATTCTACTATTTAGGAGTTTTATCACGCCACAGTTATTTTATTCTTCATTTTATCTTCTTTTTTTTTTATTGTTAATCCAAACAAAATATAATATTACAAATTTTCTGCATTTTAGCCGGCGTATGTAGTTCACATTTTCCCGTCCTGTGACTTTGCGCATGAAAATTTGGCCAGAATCGCACCGGATCTACTTCACCGTGTCGCAAAAATCGCTCATTTACTAATCGTCATTGCTACAGTTTGAGGCCAATCAGTGATCTACTGGATTATGATTTATCTGCATCTGTCATCTTCACGCACCACAGGACACTTCACATATGGTATGAAGCCTGAAGTGTCCACCTGACATACGCATAATTGTGCGACAAAAAAAGAGATGCGTTCAAAACAAAGAGCTCCTTATCTGGAGTTGTATCAGTGACAATCAAATGGAACCCGGCGGTAAGCCGATTTTTAGATCGTAGGCCTAAAAGCAAGGCACGAGGTTGTGCAATGAAGTCAGGTTAGCACGGTTAACGCGCCGGTATCATCGTGCGTGCCTTTCTTCGACGAATTTCGCGCAGGCAAGCTCGGTTTCTCTTTTTTTGTTTCCTTTTTTTTTCGGACGACTTGTAACTCGCGTCAAGTACTGACAACGTTTGTGGGATCGACCGACATCACTCTTGGTCTTTCTGACAAGCGGGTCAGGCACAACCCCAGCCTTCGGACAAGACCTTCGATTCGTCACGCAATGCCCGTTACTTATGCTCGTCCTTCCCGTAGAGGAAACAGTAAATAACCCGTTGCTCTAGATGGACAAGTCAACTGCGAAGTAAAATAAAGAATAGAAGGATCCAACGTACCCTATCACTATGAGCTATTTTAAGTAAGGCTTAGGCATTAATGATAAATTGTGTAAATTATAAGCGAGCCACCGAGGGCATAACTACTGTGATTTTAAGTATTTAACAATAACATAACTGCGTAAAAGGAGAAGACAAAAAGTAAAAACGTATAAGAGGGTTGCCCGACTAATGGTCCGTGCGGTATGTGATGTGTTTTTGTATAAAATATTGCTCTATATAAATAACTATGTATTATATTACTGTAACGATAGTGTTGCCGCTGCCCGTTGCTGCTGCCGCCGCCAATCGTGACGAATTAGAATGTAAATTATAATGTTAGACCTCTAGCACAGAAAACGAGAGAAGTTGGGCTACCCGAGTAGAATTTGCGATCTATTTATAGATCTATCTATTTGCGATCCTAGTGTATCATAATTTCCCATAGCAGGATGCGATATATATTGTGAATTATTATTATTATTATTACTATACTCTTAGCATTATACGTCTTATACATAAAAAAAACTTTTTAACATTACTTTCTATTCTTATTCTTTATTATTATAATTATTATGGTTATTATTAATATTATCGCCAGTGTTGCCAGTGTCGTTGTAATCATAACATACTACGTGTGAAATGAATTAGATCAAATCAATCGTCTTTTTTATACGAATTATATAAAAGAAGACGAATATTATGCATAAATACTTACATACGTACATACATACATACATACACACACATGCATACATACATGCATGCATACATACATACATACATACATACATACATACATACATATATATATACATCCATATGCATGTATACAGTCAAATACATGAATACATATATATGAATGTGTGTATGTGTGTCTGTGTGTCTGTCTGTCTGTCTGTCTGTATTTCATCTAATTTGTCTCAATCAATGAACGACTCCAGCAACACTGATAATCATTATTATTATTATGAATATTATTAATTATTATGATTATTATTACAACTACTATTACCACACTGCTATTACTATTATTACTACTATACTATTACCACTATTACTACTACTATACTACTACTACTACTACACCACCACTACTACTACTACTACTACTACTACTACTACTACTATTACTACTACTATTACTATTACTACTACTACTACTACTATTCTACCACTACTATTACCGCTGCTATTAATTATTATTAACGTTATTACAACAGGCTAGCTAGGGCATACCAATCCGCACATTTAAGGACAGATGGGGCTTATTTGTCATACTGGGAAATAGTATGACCGATCTCATTGACCATTGATGCCGCCCCATTCTACACTTCCATCCTATCAAGATGGATATACCGGAGTGAACGAACGACAAATGCGAGCGGTACGTTAATATTCGACCCCCAACGTTCAGTTCACATTCGCCGTTTACCAGTGTTGTATGTTCACTTGCAGCGTATATGCATCTCTGTACCCCCCCTCCCCCCCCCATCCCTTTCGATTCCGTCGTGCGACGACTCATAGACTCTTTAGCATTCATGTCCGAGATAATAAATGCGCTTATGTGTATAGACCAGAGGTTACACTATATCACACCAAGCCGTAAAAAAAACATTTTAAATAAACTAAGGGACATTATCTATTTACGATATTATGCTGCGCGTAAGGCGTATGCCTCTAGAGAGTAATCTTCATGCAAAAGTATCAGGGATGGATAAAATACGGATTCATTTATCAATTATAATGATTTCGTGTGCTATAAATATATAGCAACGATAATTGAAATCCATAAATATTTTTATAATGTTCTATCGTTCTGCTAAGCGAAAAATTAAATCTTTTCCCAATATTTATAAAACATTAGTAATATGTGACAACGTATGTCAGAGGTGTTGTTTCCAAGAGCTGCCGCATATATAACCGCTTACAGTGTTCATTATGTTTCTTTATCTCATTATTCTGCATTATTTTTTTTATAGAAGCGATGGACGATTCGGTGAAATCCTTTATTTTATTTGTTACGCGTCGTTTAAATAATCACTACTGTCTGTCCATCCTTGAGACACAATTATTTTACGACTGCGCGAATATTCGCGCAGCATGTGTATGTACAGTGTAAAAGATGCGTTGTGGATATGTACAGTATAGAGATATAATTAAGCGAGCAAGGTGATAAAAGAAAAGGGCGTATATATTATAGCTATGAAATAGGTATGTAAGGCGCGAGCGTGTGCACGTGTCGCGCAACGTTTCGTTTATTTTCACGGAAATGCTGCGTTTTCCTCTTCGCTCTTTCTTCTGCAGCCAGTCATATATTCGCGTCGGTGCGGGATTAACATGTTCTCTGTGCCGTTGTTACGCGACGCGTGCGCCCGACGACGGGCCCTCGTCTATCTTGTAAAATATCTGTGAATATTATGATTTAGTTTCTTCCTATTTGTAGGCTACAGGTATAAAAAAAAATGTTTACGTTTAATCGTTTAAGGAGAATGTACAGATATCACTATATCCTTTTTTTGTTTTGTGTTTTACTGTAGTTATTGATAATTATATGGATATTAACGATAATAATAACTATGATTAAAAAAAGGAACTTAAGCACGGCTCGATTGCGTCATTCTTGAAAAACCCGCTATAATGCGCGATATATTTATTCTGTGTAAGAGAACTCTCGGTGATAATGTATCATTTGTATATTAGTAATTACGTGATCTCCTTAATAATCGAAAAAAAAGAAACTTGAATAGAATTGATATACGTTACGATGTCACACCGTTCCATCTCCTAAATTTTGTCACAATCTCCACGATTTATTTCCACGCCGTCTACATGCGTTTTTCTGAAATGTTAATGCGTTGAAAACCATATGTTAAGAACTTTCTTTTTATATTAGATCAGGAGCTGGACTTCTCGCTAGAAAGGTAATATAATAAAACACAAACTATTACCTCGAATATTGACGTATATTTCTTACGGTCTTACTTATTCGTCATACTCTTCATTAATTTCGCCAATAAATTGCAATAATATAGAATAATTACTATTTGTGGAAAACAACTCAAGCCTGATCTACACAATGATGCTCGAGCGAGAGCCGAATTAAAAGAAGCGTATTAAGATAAGCAGTAATAAGTATATTAAGATAAGCAGTGATAAGTATATTAAGATAAGCAGTGATAAGTATAATAATTGAAGCTTTCCAAAAAAGATCCCTGTTTGATTTGAAAGAAAAAGAGATACAACATCAAGGTATAAAGATTAAGTAATTAAAACTAAATATTTTTTTTTTGTAATATAACAATCCATTTGATCGAGACATTTTCGTATCGTGCAAATGCTCATCTAAGGGTTGCTAGTCCATTCAGACCAATCCTGGATCTGCGTGTAGAGTTGTTCTCCAGGGCTAACTGTTGCAGTCACCTGTCGTGCGCCTATCACACGTACGTTATCTCGAAGAATACCTTGAGATTTGCCGCATTCAATTAAATCATGTGCAGTGTTTAACATTTTCTGACTAGCCGCTTTATCTGAAAAAAAAGAGAGATCGAATATATTTTGGATACTCATTGTTTGTAGCAATCGTTCAATTGACACTTACTCTCAAAATTTCCAATGAAAGCTATGCCGACAGATTTTTTATTGTATCCGTATGTATGCGCGCCTTCGCGTGTCCATCCACATCCCTCGTATACGTTTCCATCCCCGCCAATTAAAAATCTGGAGAAACAAATAGTTCGGAGTAATCTTAACATTTTTTAAACGTTCATATTTATGTGACGTAAACGGCAGCACTTCTTTTTAGAAGCAGTACATACATTCGTCTAATGTGTGCAATCGAAAACTAAAATAATGATTACGTGACTTACGAGTAGCCGATATCGTCCCAGCCAAGTGTGTCCATGTGATGTCCGCGGATGCTATCAACACGAGCTGTACACGTCTGACGTGTATTGCACTCAGGAGTGACTGTATGCTGTATCACCACATATGGTATCGGTACAATTAAATAATTTACGTCGCCAGCGGGAACGGAGGTCCATTGGTTTCTGGCGATGATTTTGGGACATTCTATAAAATATTCAATGATTTTTTTTTACTTAAAAAACATATAAAATACTTATTCATGATTTATAAAAGAATGAATTGTATGCAGTAAGTATATCTTTTTCATATGTTAAACTACGAACTAAAAATGCAAATGTTAAAAAGATGCTTACTGGCAAAACTGACTGGAAGCACCAATAAAAGTACAAAGCAGATTCTCGAGAACATTCTTGCAACGTGAAACGACGGAGCGCAACTACACGAGAATCGCTGAAAAATAAATGTATAACGTTAGTAATGCCTCGGGTTATGACCTACAGCGAAGCGATAACAAGAATTGCTAATTTCAACTTTTCAGCTTGTTAATAAATTTTTTGATCATAGTAGAAAGAAAAGAGTTAAAATATTATCATCGATGACATACTATTAAAGAGCAAAGTTTTGCAAAGTAATATAAATTATAAAAATAATGCTGCAATGGAAATATTTTCAGAATTTTATAAACACTTTGATACTGTCAAAACCGATTAAAGTATAATTAAGAATTGGATCCCAGGGAGAAATACAGGTCGAAACGTCTATTAGAAGTTTCTTCGACCTGTATTTCTCCCTGGAATAACCATCTTATTGAAGCTGGGACTTGCGACTTTTAATATTTAATTAACAAATTATTAATAACTGGCATTTTAAATTTTGCAAAAAATACCTTTAAGAAACTTTAAAAGAGACGTGTGAATTGTTTAAGAATTTTATCAGCATCCCAACATCGTGAAAAATAGTCCAGAAGCGAAAATAAGCGTGTAGAAAGCGTAACCCGTTGGAACGGCCCGAACAGTCATAATTCTAGTTGGGATTAAGATAATAAGTTAATAGAAATACATGATAATACTTTTTTATTTGAGATATAAGAATGATACTGGCAGCGCCATGCAGCTCGTACTTGATGATATAGCACTTCCGAAGCAGAGCCATCTGTTGGCGACATGACGAATGTATCAATGGTAAGTGTACCGATGGTAAATGTGCCGATGGTAAGTGTTGATCTTTACTTCGACTACCTCTTTGCTTTTCTACGATCCTAATAATAGGTACCCAATACCGACCATTTCGTCTCCGTGGAGAGAAAATTCAATAGTACTTCGTCAGTGTTGATGATATCGCCGAACACGTGATCTACGATTTCGCGTTTTCGTGAATAATGGAAACTGTTCGACCATGCGGCTGCAAAGGGATACGCTCTTGTTTAATTTGCGAAGCCGAATACAAAATATCAAAATTGGATCTGAAGAACGAGTTACAGGTAGAATACAGAATTTCTTAACCTCTCATTCATGTCATACATGTAACTTTGAAATTTCCAAGAATTAATCGCGAGGTTTCCTCCTTGAAAATTAATAACAATTGTGACAAAATATATTATTATTTCATGGATTTTTCATATTTTATTGTTTTGAAGCATATATAAATTTTCTAATAAATAATTCTAATAGATAAGATTGGTTACTTTTTGTCCATTAGCATAAACAGTTGCAAGAACATATTTTGTCTGAATCTTCAATATTTAAATTTTAAATAAAATAAATATAAGATAAATATAAGAGAGTTGTATAAATATTCAAAGATTATTAGAAAAAAATAAGAAATAAACTTCCTAAAAAACAAGATTTGACTTTCTAAAGAATCTGTTCTTTTATATTTACTTATAAAAACTACAACTTGTTTAAGAATGTTATTTTACACATACAAACTAATTTTCTTAAAAAAAGATCAAGATAATCATACCTGAAAACTTTATTACTTAGTTTCTGCTTTTCAAATCTGATGTTTATTGTATACTGTCCTGCTTGCTGAATCTGTTTCTATCTGGTTAAAATACCAGAAAAACCAGTTTGTAATTTTTTTATGAGGAAAGATGGAACACTTGTCTTATTTTTTTACTTTGCTTTAGTATTATCATCTTCCTATATATTTAATGGAATGTGCATTAGTATTGTATTAATTCATAAGAACAATTGTATGATATTTTTATAGTATTTATTAATTACTTATACAGTTTTGTAAAATATGACTTTAATTATCTGATTTTTTAATTTATTTAAAATGTGTTTGCTATTTATAATCTTACAGAAAAGCACAAGTTATGTTTATTGTCCATACTGTGACAAATTATCACCTGGATGGGATATAAATGAGTATAAAAAACATCCTCATCATGATGGCAACTTAATTGATTATCCTGGTGTTTACATTAAGGTAATGTGATTATAGCAAAATGTTCTATTTGTGTTTATATATATATAATATATGATTAATAATATGTATTTATAATATATGTCTTAGCTAGATTTTTTAAATAAAAATGAAGCTGAGGAGCTGATGAAAGCACTTGAGTGTCTTCCTTGGCAGGCTTCACAAAGTGGCAGGAGAAAACAGGTATGTATCTCTATTTAAAGGAAAAATACATAATTATTTTTATATATATCAATATATTTTAAGGCTTTTTTAATTACAGAACTTTGGACCAAAATGTAACTTTAAAAAACAGAAATTACGATTGGGAATGTTTGACGGTTTCCCTAGAACAACACAGTTTGTACAAAAGAAATTTGAGGAAATACCACTATTACATGATTTTAAAACTGTTGAGCAGTGCACACTGGAATATGATCCTAAACGAGGTGCATCTATCGATCCTCATATCGACGATTGCTGGATCTGGGGAGAACGCATAGTGACTGTGAATGTTCTCGGTGATTCTGTTTTAACTATGACTCCTTATCGAGGTCCGCTAACGCGATACAATTTGGACTGTGTTTCCAATTATGATTCCATTCCGGAGAAAGATGTTTATATTAATTCGCAAACTGTAAATATTGATGATAACGTAGTAGTACGATTACCAATGCCTGCTAGATCACTCATGATTTTATATGGTCCAGCAAGGTACATTTTATTTATAAATATTAACAGATAATATATAATATAAAAATACTATGTTTTATGGAATTAATACATGTGATTGTTCATAGATATAAATGGGAGCATTCTGTACTTCGACAAGATGTTACATCAAGGCGCATTTGCCTCGCGTATCGCGAGTTTACATCTCCATATCTCGAAAATGGGAAACATTATGAAGAAGCTTCCGAAATTTTGAGGCAAGCTTCACTCTTTTGGTGAAGCTAACATAAAACGGATTGAACCAATTGTCGAATTTATTTGATACAAATTGATACGATAAATTATTTGGTAAATATATACTATGTATTTTAATAGAATTAGAATAAAGGTATATTTTACATTTCGTATAAATATAGTGCATTAGTAATATTAACATCTTGCGATAAGCTGTATAATATATGCATAATATTTTTAGAAGAATATTTTTTCTTAGCCAAGCATATCTTAATAAAAGTATAAAGTGTAAGTAAAGCATAAAATTTGAATTATTTATTATATATATTAATTTTTTTAGGCAAATTTTATATATATATATTTGGCTAAGAAAATATATCAATCTATGAATTATAAATCACAATGATTCGATAATAAGTATTGTTTTCTCCTATATTACGCAGCAATGATCTATTGAACTCTAATATATAGATAAACGTAAAGACGTCAGAAATAAATATTCAGCCTTCTGAACGCTTTTATATATTATAGAAAATAGGGTTGTCAATTTTTATGAGGCTAGTAAAAATAGAAAATAGAAAATATATCTGATCTTATAAATCATTTGATTTTTGCGTTAAAATTAACATTTCTGATTTCCTTTCAGTGGATAATCCGGTGACATATACACTATGGGAAACGTTGTGAAAGGATCAGATTTTCCCAGGGGTTCATAACCGTTCACGAGATTTTCTCGTAATTCCCAGCGACGCCTCTCTCTTTCTGTCTTCTGACGTCTAATAGCTCGGCCTAGCATACACGCAAACATAATTCCCGATAGCTAGAAAAAAATAATTGAACAAAGATTATTATACAGTTTTATGTAAGTAAACTGAAAGTATCGGATAAATGGTTTTTTTATATGGGAAATTATTAAATTGAAAAAGTTTAAATGACTAACTTGAATAAGGGCAATTGCTACAGCTCCTGTGCCAATGTATAGTGCGCTGCGATAAATAATAATAGAAAGACGATTGATGCAGCCATCCCCATATCTGTCCTCACATAATCTGCGTTCTGACTCTAAATAATATGAATATGACAAGCAACAAGAATCAGGCACATCTTGTTTCCAGCTATCTGTATCATTGAACGGTATGTCGTACCAATCCGTATAACTATTATATCCACAGCAACGTAACTGTAAAAAAAATTGATCAATTAATTGCTAAGAGGTTTTACGAACATACTGACACCGGAATGATTGATTATTTTACCCTAGATTGCATAAAATCAATCGCAAACGTGGCTTCCTGATTAGTTCCGTATTGATGCATTGTTAAATTGATCTTTTCAGCTAGGAGGTCCTTAATACCATCCTGCAAAGCGTACGCAGCAACAGCGGCGGCGAGTTCCAGGATCAGCACAAACGATAGCAAGACCGCAAACTGAAAATAGGTAAACGAATGTAGCACGTCTAATTAGAATCAAAAGATATTTAATGCGTAGAGAAAGATTTAGATATCGCTCACCACAAGAACCATGCAGGTACTTTCTCTGATTGCGCCGCAACATCCCATAAAAGCGATTATAAAGATGAATATCCCAACCACGATTAATAGCGTGGCTGGTGAAAAGTAGCTGGGATCCAGAAAATGCGAGAAATTCTCGTAAATGGCGTAGATCGTTGTGCCGACCGATATTATCATAACCCCCGTGAGCTGCAATAAAATCATAATAATACAAAAATGATCTACTACGCTACTATAATCGAATGCTATATAATCAACTACACTCAGTACTGTAATCGAATAGCCTTGCTGTAGTTAATTGTTATGAATCTTTTGGTTGGTTAGGTTTTTAGACTAGAAAAAGAAGGTATGACACTTTTGTCGCTATTGTGTAAGTTTTATCGCTATATAAACACCGCCATTATTCTCCACTTGTTCTACAAAGCAAGGTACGTCATTCCAATGATAAGTCATTTTTATGGCTTGTGTACACGATATAAGTTTATAAAAATTAATATTAAACTCCAAAGTTAAATTTTAATTATTTTAAATATTTCAAATTATATTAAATATCTTAAAATATACGTAGAGGAATGGAACAAGTTTTTAAATTTATATTTTAATTTGAATAAACAAAATGATGGTTAAAAGGTAATCATGTACTATGTAATCGTGAAGTCATTTTTGCACTTACTGACAACAAAAAAATCAAAGACCAAACAGAAAGTCGTTGTAAAACTTTCACACTTTTTTGTGTGCTAGTCTTTTAACTTGCGATAGTCGTATCATACTTCACCGCATGACAAAGATTATGAAGTTATCTCTTGATAAGCAACTACTTTATGCTCCTAAATGAGCAAGTAACAATATAAATTTTAAAATTTGAAATATTTTTATATCTATTACGCATGAATAATTAAGAAATCAACATAAATAAGATTCTTGATCTTAATTTTAGACTCACAAATTATTTGCATTTTCGAGACGTATAAGCTTATAAGCATGTCGATAAACTACTATGCTAAACATTAGTGTTTTATTTATAGAAAAGCTCACATGCTAAATCCATACTTTTTGTATGTTTATGCAAGTTGTATATTGTCTTTAAGCCATTATCTGCATATTTCGCATCGATAAGCAGCAAGCGGCAAAAGAAATATGCTACTGCTTCTTCGTTTAATTTCGAAATATGGTGTTAATCAGATTGTATAGCTCAGATTGTACACGTTCGCTCATTCCTAATAATTTAGCAGTGCATAGCCTTGTCTATATATTATCGATCGCAGTTCAAAAGAGGTTCAAACTTCACGGCCCGTATCACTTTTTGTAACTTAATAAAGAATAAAGAACATGATAGAAGATATTAACGTTATAGGGAAAAAACTTGCTGCTTTCAGTCTTTTATCATTTACGATTTTACATGATGTTTCATATTTTTTTGTTCTCACTTGCTGCAATATTCCAAAATTATCAGATACGTTATCTCACCTCGACATTCAAATGGCGAATCGATTTAATTGATATCGTCAATGTTGGTGACATCATTTAAAACGATCTAATTATCAAAAAAGCTATAATTTTTCTACAAAACGTGTAATAATCTACAATAATATTGATTTCCAAATTATTTTTACGCAAAGTGCGCAAAAACGAGAGAACACTCACGAAGTGTAAAAAAATAATGAGTCATTTTTAAGATTAATTGCTGTTTGTACTATTGAAATGTGCGTTAATAATCGTAGCGATGACAAGTAAAACAAATAAAATAGAAGCAACCACATGTGAGTTAAGCAATATTGCTTCACATTCTAAGTTATTATGTTGCACTATAAACGGAGGATTTGCAAAGTATTTTTTTTTTAGTTTTATATATTTAATTATGTATTACGAATAAGATACTAAAAAATTTTGAATTACGAGAATATTAAAAAATTGCCTTTACAAGTCTTTTTCTTTGTCAAAAACAGATGGTCAGCAATTACTTTTGCCATAGATCGAAGTCTTCCTTTAGAACCCAGGCATTATCTATACGAGTATAGTAATCGATAATTACGGACATATGGTATAGTCTAGACGGATGCACTCGCATAATGCGCAATTGCACCTTCTTGAGTATACGTCGCAACGGCATTTTCCAAGGACCTTTGACAATCGGCTCAAGTCATCAGTGAAGACTTTGCGCACATTTAAAGGGGCTTAATACATTTCATTATCTTATTGTCTAATAATATCTTTCCCCTGACAATCGCGCTAATCGATAGCTGCGCACCAAGTTTGAAATATTTTGTTTTCAAAATATTTACCAAACTTTGATCGAGAAAGTTAATATTTTTCTTCTAATTGGTACGCAAAATATCGCCGAAAATGAAAAAAATATCAAGATTAGAGTGAAGGATTTTATTCTGCGCATAAAGTCGCAGTCATCGATTAGAGAATATACTTTAGGAGAAATAATTTTATATCTTAACGTCATGTCGATATGGGAGAACGAACAAATGAGGAAGAAAAGCCACAGCAATCATTTATGGTACAGACCACGAAGAGGGAATTGACTGCGAACAGCAGGTACTTGATGCAGCGAAGGCCGATGTCGAGGTGCGTGGCCGCCATTTTGGTGTTAGCTTAGGCTCCTCCTGGGCGCAGGTGCACAATACGCAAGATCCGCGCACTTCCAGCGACGATGCACCGACTGTCGATGCCGATGTCGATGCTGGATACCGGCCGGTACCGGCCTGGCGTTATCTGCTGGCTGATAATGGGACACGAAAACGTACGAATACGCACGGACGACGACGGGCGACTACGCGACTACTTGTATTTATAATCGAACACGGCGACGTCTTTGTGCGATGCCGACGCAAATGATTTCTTAGGACGCATGGTCTAGACCAGAGTGGGAGGGAATGAGGAAGTGGCGATAGTGTGAAAAAAACATGACCAAGTGATAAACTGTAGCGAATTCAGTTGGTCACGTTAACATAAAGGCCGTTAACGCACACAAGTTGCATAAAAACATAACATATAAACGGTTTGCCAATCAATAATGTTCAATATAAATTGTCACATTATTATTATAATTTTATCTATAAATTTGACTAATATGCAGATAATTATTAGCAAAAATCTAGAACTATCAAGTTTTTAAATTAGAAATAATTAATAATTAAAAGCCTTTTCTAGTACTAAATTCTGAAAATTGCAAACAGATGATAGAATTTTTTATTTGATATTTTTGATGATATCAATTTCAAATATTTTATAGATAATCCGCATACAAAAAATTTAACATACGCGAACATGCAACACTTAATATACAATAAAATAAGTTAAATTAAAAAACAGTTTAGAAACAATGAGATACGGTCGAATATATTAAACTGAAATTTTCGTCGGTGTGAAGGACCTGCAATAGAAACGCCAGCTTGCGTCCGTTGCTACGTTTGCACATAAGCAAAACAGTAATAAGAGTATGATTCATGCGTGAACGATTAAGTCAATTTTGTGCGCATGTATAATTCACGCGAGGACATAAAGTAGTGCAGTTCGACGTTTTTGTCTTTCATTTTTTGCAAAAAATACCGCAGCGAATTTTCTGTGAAGAATTATAGAAACGTAATTTCTTATGAAGCGAGTGATTTTATATCTTACTCTTTTACGTTCAAAAATAAGATGACAGTAATAAAAATAGATTCCGAATGCATCAGAACTGATAATATAAGATTACCTTGGTAGCATAAAGATTTTATTAAAAATACGTATGAATCACGTATCCAAAAGCGGAATGCACACTGTGAAACGACACGTGTAACGCGTAGCAAAAATAATTTACCACCAATGTATTCGCATATCAGACACAACCCTATATTCTAATGGAAATTCTGTCAGGAAATCCTGTCTTCTAGGAATGTAACGCTGTTTCCGGTGCGCTCGGCGTTCGTATGGCACTCTACATGGTTTCGTAACAATTCTTGATCGACTTGGCCAGATAGGATGACAAGAAGATTCCTATCAACTGTAGTATAAAACATCAATCATTTGTTCTTTTCTCTTAATAAAATGCTTAAAAATTTCAGGAAAAGCATGAAAAATCAGTACGTAATATTGTATATAATGAAAATACCTGAATTATGGCAAGACCTATTCCGATGCCTGCTATCTTAGCCGCATGCTTTTTGGCGAATTGCACGAATGCATCCATACAGCCAACGTGGTGTAGATTCAACGAGTTTGAAGTACAATTTGTCGTGCCAATAGCGCCTACTGTATCATCGCAACACGACATCGGAATGCCTGACAGATTGAAAGGCTTGGACGTCCAGTCTGTGGCGTTGTTCATGCCGCAGCACTTAAACTACAAAAGCGAAATTTAGGTATTATTATTGCGTTTAAAACGTCACGCAAATGCAGGACCGTTTAGAATCGTAACGAAAGATTTTTTTTGTGGAAAAGCGTGTCTAATATTTTACGGCACGCTGATACGTTTCGTACGAGATCGTTGAGCGTGGTCAAGAAAGCGAGCGATGTAAAAATCGATTTACACCCTTCGTAGCGTGCACGCTGGCTACTACACACACATGTATTATACACACGACGAATTAGAGCCGTGCACTGAAATTATCCCTGTCGCTTGTCGTCCATGATATCCTCACGACGATCGCGTCGCTCCCACGATAGGGAAGGTATAACGCGAAGCGTGAAAAACTTTTCTACCGCCAAAACAAAATACAAACCGTATACAGTGTATTACTTCAAAAATATCTTTCACTATACGATTGTCTCCTTGCTCGCACAAATGTGCTTTATAAATGCGTATTACGTCTCGTTGCAGTTGGTCCCAGACGAACTGTATTTCTTTGCTGTTATTGTATTTAGGCATCGTATTGACCATCTTTTCTTCTACGATCGTCGCGATTCGTCCTCTCATCACATATCCCATTGTGCCGCCTATGATCTCCAGGATGAAAATCACAGCTAGGAGCGTGCTGAACTGTAACAGAAAATTATAAAAGATAAAATCGAAATTAATAAAATTCCATCGTTGGAAACATTTCGAATCAATCATCTGATATAAAATGTTAATATATATTTTACAATGAACTGAAGAATACCACGAAACCATAACAACATATTGATGTAGAATACTCAATTCTGAAATTTATAAAATATGTATTAGTCTTTTGTGATGTGCGTTTGCGTCAATGTTTTAAAGTAACATCAGAAACGCACCCGCCCTTGTCTGCGAGGGAGAATAATTTTCTCGGAAACCGAGGAAAAGGAGGGTGGAACGAGCAAAACACATACGTCAATTACATAGTTCGTGCACAAAACGTACGATCCATTACGTTATGGAAACGAAGGGGAGACGATATCGCAGGCATAGACACTGGCCGCGCTTTTTTCGTATGTACGTCGATTGAAAAGGACGCTGTAAATCGAGATTCTGATCTCGAATTAATTCAAGAACTCCGAGAATAATAGTTCGAATGCTCTCAAATCATGATAATGAGTTTGCTTTTTGCTGCTGAAAGTATGAGATGACTCGGTGACACGTTTTCAATTGCAATTACATCACAGATGTAATTTCGGCACATCAGTTAATCAAATGAGACGCACATCATTTACAACTGGTAAATGACAGTCGTGTTTTGAAACTTACTGTTTTTCATAGCGAGAAGAAAGTATATGATCGACAAGTGTGCAATGTGTGCTTCTGATAGATAACTTATCATTATTATTGACTGACGATGCGTGATTACTAATGACTAATTAAATGTTGAAATATAAACCATGATAGAATTATAATAAGCAATGTGCAAGTGAATTTCAAATGACGCAAACATAAGAAATGTTTATTTCTATTTTTTTAAATTTCAAAGATCTACACACGTTTTTTTTTTTTGAATAATCTAATTAACAAATGTGCAGTTCAACAGACAAAACTTTTTTTTTCAGTTGGATGCAATGAAATGTGTCTACTTAATAGATAACAGAAATATCGCAGTGTTTATAAACATTTGTCTTACCGTTATAATCATGCAATGGTTTTCGCGAAGAGATCCACAGCATCCGAAGAAGGCGATAAAAAGAATAATTGAACCAACGGCTATGAGAAGAGAAGGCACAGAAAAGAAACTGTTATCGAGGAAATGTTGATAATTATGATACACTCCATGGATGACCAAACCAGTAGACATAAGCACTATTCCTGTAATCTAAGCATAATCAATTAATAGTATATTTTCTATAATATATTTTAATAGTATATTAATATAGTATATTTTCATAGATAAAAGAATTCAAAGTAAAATTTGTAATTATTTTCATTATATTAATAATGAAAAATGTATGATAATTCTATAATAATTACACAATCAATTGAACAAATAAATGAACAGTATTATCATTCAATTAATGTAGTAAATAATTAATATTTTGATAAAATTTAAACAGATGTAATAATTTATTTTCTTAATCGTGTCAAGTTTTTCGTGTAAGATCTTTTGTTATATTTTTATAAAGCATCATACAATATGATTAAAATTTATATTTGTACACTCTACATGGTACAAATTGAAAGCAATTTTGAACAGCTGCGGTGTCCGAGCGGTTAAGGAGATGGACTTGAAATCCATTGGGTTCTACCCGCACAGGTTCGAATCCTGTCCGCAGCGAAATTTTTTTACTTTTCCTTTTGCAGGCGGAATAATACACTCATTTATACATAAAAGTGAATATCTTAATGGAAAAATATTTTTTAAATTATTACATTGTATTATTTTCTTTCATATTAAAAAGCATTAATTTAGGTAAACTTTTGTTAAAAAATTAATTCGTAAAAACACAATCAATTCACATTTATAATAACATAAGTGATTGTGCTAAATTATCCTTTAAAAATAGATTAATTATTATCAAGCTGTCTATAACTTATCAAGCTTTGAGCATATGTATATACCTAAATGACATATTGTCAAATAAAATCACTATTCAATTAATCATATTTTAATTATAATATTTCTGAATAGTTTTTTAATATTGAACATAACACTCCAACTCATTTGTAAACTACTTTAGGTTATTAAATAAATAAACAAAATTAAATTTATATAAAAAAGGCAAAAAAATCATTTTATCCTGCAGTATTTAAAGTTCTTAGTCTTACAACGTAATCGTTTTCGTTTCGATAGCAGTGAAAGCCGTTTTTCAACTTCGACGTTATATTGTGCACAAAAATCAATAAAATAAATCACCGCGTGATAGGGATTTTCCACATGCCTATCTTACGTAGATCGATTCGTTGTAATCGTTGTAAGATTCCTCTCGCATATTTAGTGATTCATCAATTCGAAATCTTCTCTGGTGAGTAAGTTAGTTGAATTTTTTGTGTTTAATCAATCTAATTTAACACATCAAGCTTATATAACACTTAAATGCAATTTATTACTGGATTAAAGGCAATATATATTTCAGAGATTAAATACGTGTGACAAAAAAATATTTCATATACTCATTTCGTATTTCTATTAAAAAATATTAATTCCAAAGTAATCCCAAAAATATACTGCAGCAGTGACTATGTTATATATACTAATTAAATTAAAGAAATATTAATCCTCCGTATTTTAGCACATAAATGTTTACAAGTTTATATTGCACACGTGTTTTTCCGTTCAAATTTCTCAGCAAATTGTTATGACTACTAATCGATAATATTTATCTATTGTATACCAAAAATATGTCTCAGATAATTAAATCGCATACTTTACAAAATGTTAAAGGTTAACATAATAACATAATAACATAATAATGTACATATACTCAATGTTTGATAAATATTTAAACCAAATCCTACAATGTTTATACTTCAATAAATATTTAAAGAAAATATGATGCTGTATAATGTTATGTAACAGTTAATTATTTTAATGCAAAATTCTTTTTAAATTATTATTATTATTATTACATAGATTAGCAAATTTTTTAAAATAAAATAGAAATTTAAAAATAATTTTACTGATCCATGTGATAATCATTTAAAAATTAATTTTGCAATTCAATTATCATTGGCTATCAATATATGCACGCCTCAATGCGGCCATTGAATATTGACACTTACGATCTATGATTCATTTCTATAAATATCATTTAAAGTTAACTGGGGTAATCTGTCAAACGCACGTTCGTACAGTCGCAAGTGTTAGATGAAGTTAATCGATACTTTGTCTCCTACTTATATCTAAAAGGAAAAAAAGATGGAGTATAACCTCAGTTCATTTAATATTGAATAACATTCATGACTCTATGAACATGTTTTCTCAAGTTTGCTACAGTCAAGTTACTTAACGCTTAAAATTAGATCATAGTTCACAATTTTGTAAAACTTTCAACAATCGCGCTGAAGCGTGCACGTTAATGAAGTCGATAAGGCAGATCAATAACTCGCGGAGGCAGCACGCGGTGTGTGCCACCTCATCGTTCCAGAATGAACGTGACACGATGCGCCACGCTGATCACTGGTCATATACTCACCACGAAGAACAGATTGAAAGCAAACATCAAGTATTTAATGGTCTTTGGTGCCAGGCCCAGCTTTAACGTCGCCATGTTTGCAGAAATACTTGCCGTTATAATTGCACACACGCAACTGCGGAATTCCTTTTACGCAGTTACTAAAGGCGAGTCACGAACGATACTGCGCGATCGAGAGCAGGAAAAATGCGTTAAAAAAGGCCCCTTTAGCAGGAACGAGCGTTCCGACGGGCGGCGCGGATATGCATACACGAAGCACGGTGCACGGGTATAGGACACACGCACAGACGCGTCTTTCGGTTGTGTGCGTTACGTTGTCGTCGCGCACAGCGAAATAAACACAGGCTCGTGATACTGCCGAAGACCGGATAGAATCTCGTTTCAACATCGATAATCCGTTTCAAAACTGCGAAATATTGGTATAGCTCACGCAGGCAACTTGTTGTCGATCTGTGTTGTTACAGAGTTACAAAACTTTGAAGATTGCTCGTTTCTGACGTTTTTTTGAATACATCTGAATAATGAATTGAAAATGAATGAATATATAAGACGTGTCGAAGTATTTGCTGCATTATTTCTTGCCGAAAACTGGGACCGGTTTTTCTTATTGGAGATTGGAATATGACCTGCAATCAATCGAGACAAAAAATGTTTTAATAAATTGTGAATAATGTAAAAAGATCTAATGTATCAATTAGTTTTAGGTGGAGAATTTCATTTGATATATCTAATATTTAAATTTAAAAAATAAAAAATATATTGTTTGATCAAATGTTGATTAAAAATTAATTAATTAAACAAAAGAAAAAATTATTTTAATTTTTAACACGAGAAATATTACTTTATAAAATAATTCAACAAATAGATACTATGGAGAAAAATATTAGATTATTTAGAAAAATTTAGATTAGCAGAACATGTTTAAGATTTTGTTTTTATATACTTTCGATTTACACAAATCCGATGTACTGTATTGCTATCATAATTGCCATACTGACCAGAAACAATAAGCAGCTGTAACAATTCTGTACCCAAAGAACAGAAAGTATTTCGATTTCGTAACTCTGAATCTTCACAGGCTATACCTGAAAAAATAAATTTTTAATTTCTACATAGTTAAGTTTCCACTGTATCTCCTTTTCAAATACAAAAGTAATCATTTGTAATACGTAGCTTTTGTGCTGGCATTTGTTCATAGCATATGTAGTGAAAACTGTACAAGTTTTAAATACGATTCATAGAAGTCTATGATAACTCGATTACACGTTGCACAATACTTGCGGTCTTAGTTTGTCGGTTTAGTCCTGTCGTTAGTCATAATTCATAATTGAGACTATTGAAGCGTAGAATATGGAGCAGATTCTAACTCGGTAATATAATATTCAATAACCCAGTGCTCAAGGGTAACACTTGACACATATCTAATCCTTCCCCCCCCCCCCCCTCGTATACGAGTATTACCCGTCGCATGTTCGGTTAATGATGCCACGATCAATCTGTGACACAAATATCCATTTATACCATCTGGCGGATTGCTCTTTCATGATAAAGGAAGGCAAAATCGAATAGAGTGCGTGTGAACTATATCTCGATGCTTAATGCTTCATTCTAGAAAATGAAATTGTATATACATATCTATTTAGGCCAAATATAATGTATACATTTAGATTGATTAAAAAACAAGAAATTGCATCATATTTAATTTTATTGCGCGAATTCTAACTCGGCTACAATGTAGCCTAAACAATTCGCACTGTTGTTGAAACATGGTTCGACGAAAATATCTCTGAATATATAATGTACGACGTAGTTTCAAAAAATTGTAATATAATAATAAAAATATATAATATTTAAAGATACAATTTGAAAAATAATCGAATTTTATTTGCTATATTTTTTAACCAAAAATATAATGCAATATGGTGCAACATTTAAATTTTTAATAACTTTCTTTTCGTTCTTATTAATAATAAAGTAATTCTTTTTTTCAAGGATATCAGCATATGATATCCACACTCGTGCTTCACACGAATTCATATTATTAAATTTACACACGCCTGTCTTCTAAATGGGCGTGGTTTTACTCTATGCACCCCTTCATGTTTCATACTCCTTTTATGAAATAAAATTTTATAATTTTAATATTTTCCTTTGTACATACTAATTATTATATAAAAATTTCTATTTTTAGACGAAAACCGACAAAATTTAGTTTATAGATTTTATCATTCAAATTTCCTACGTTGAAAGGGTTGATTCAACAATACCATGTTGCAAGCGCTTACACGAGGAGTCCGTGCTCGATGTGGCCCTGAGGCGGGCTCGAGCACGCATGCTCTGGACGCACATTTTATATTCATATATATTTAGCTACTGACCGAGGGTTGTGTATGGTTGGTCTGACGTGGCCGACATCGTGGAGAACTCTCCCTGGCGTCGTGTATTATGCGTCCAAGCACGTGGTCAACATTCACGCAAAAACGTAGCGTGTAAACTTGAGCCACTATCGGCGTGAAGCGTAAAGCGAAATTCGCCAGAGAGGCTAGCTTCTCATCCAATTTATGCTAATTGCATTAGCCGTTATTGCGTTTAGTTACATTGAGAACACGCGTCATCGCATCAGTCATACTACATTCCATTTTACGCATCCACTCGCAATCATCCTATTAAAAGCAAATAAGCAATTAATTTTATTTTCCGATAAATTGCACAATTTACAAGAACAAGAGAGCAGCGGGAAACGCCTAAATAGCCAAATATTAACAATGTTGATAGATTGACAGCATTTGATGAAATTTGCTGTCACTCTGCCAATATTGCTAATATTTTCCTTAATGAGTAATTATTGTAACTGTACAGTTTAGTATATTTCTGATATAAGAACTGCGAACTGAAATTGTTATAAAATTAATAATGCTGCAATTAAATACTACGCATATTTTTACATGTGCGCAAAGCATCTAATGTGGCAAACAAAATCTCTCATGCAGTTTACATTAACATTATCCTGTATATATACGGCTATTGTTATATTTAGAAAATCGATAAATTCATTTAGGGTAAATGTCAAGACTAATTAATTGCCATATCAAGAAGGAAATTTATATAAAACATTATAATACGAATAACATTAAATACAAATAAGCAATAAAAAGTAAAACTTAATCATAGTAAAAAGCCATTTTTTACATACTTTACATGATAATTATTCAAATAGAAGTCAAAACAACTTTTTTTTTCAGAGAATAAGATTTAACAAGCTTTTAAATGTGCTTATATATTTCATTACCTTTTAAACTTTTATGCTGCTTGGATAAGATTGATGAAATGGTCCTGGTTTCCAAATGCTCCTTTTCAGAATGTCAATCTTATCTTGGATATTTTAAATATCTCTTCAAATGTCTTGGATATTTGAAAATTATCTTTTCTTAGTTTTATTTGTAATACATCGAAAAGCAAATGCATTTCACTCTGTTTAATCTCTTATATCATTAATACTTCAAATTCCAAATTAAACATTATTGTGTAGTCTGTTTTTGTATTTTTCTGTGATCCATTTAATATTATCTGCACATGTATCTGTGTAGTATAATATGCTCTGCAAATAATTAAAATAAAGTAATTTAATAAAATGAGTGTCATAATAAATCATAAAAGAACGTCCTAGTTTTTTCTTTCTAAACCACATAATAAATTAAACTTTTTAAGCAATAAAGTAAAAAATTTTTTATAATTTAACTTTACTAAATAATGTAATAAAAAAAATATAAATATAATAGTCTGGTTTTTTTCTTTTTATACCAGCAAAGAAACAGAAAACTACTATTCTAAGTAATATGCTACCAGGAAATGCGCAAACGCTGCATTATGTGGACGATGAACGTAATTTCGTCGAGCGTTTACAAAGGTTTGGTTCTGTCGAAACGGCATCGTTTCCACAATGCTCCTCCTCATTGGAGTCGTAGACCTGAAAAATACGCGTGTGTGACGTGTATATTAATAGACGGCGACAGAGTAGTATTGAAGCATCGTAATTCACAGCGTAGGCGTCACGATTCTGCGTTCATTGCACTTTTCGTGCTAACGTACTTATTTCTTTCTAAGTCTCTTTCTATCGGATATCGTATTCGAAATTGACATCTTGCATAATACACAATCCCGACAATAAATATATAAAATTAAAACAAAAATTCTGTCGGAATTAGTCGCAAATTAAATATACATTGCCATCAAACAAACTGGTTTCAAAATTGGTTGATCTCTTAAAGCTATTTTCTATCGGTTTTCTATATCCGGATAATTAATTATATATATATATATATATATATATATATATATATATATATATATATATATATATAGCCGATGTTATTATTGAATCAAATATACCTCTTTTAGACAAAGATACAAAAGAAAAGTTCGCAGCGCTCGTCGATAGCCCAAAGAATTGTTGGATTTTGAGTTATAGACGATGATCAGGAGCAGGATACCCGGCAGTATGATATTTGAGAATCAAGGACAAAGAGGAGTGCATATACGTAATATTGATACACAGTTCGTGCGACCGGATCGTCGATTGCAACCAGGTTCGCCATGACACACCACCACCCAAGTGTAACGTCGCGGTGTTGAACGAATTGCACCGCGATAGTACAGGCTCGTAGCATTCAGGTGACGTGATACCTTCACGCGGCCATCCATCATCGGCGACGAACGTGACGGTAGTACGCTACGAGAAGTGAATAGTAATCTTGTAAAAGGCATAAACAGACAATTCGATCTCTTACACAGATAAGTAGAAGAGTTAAAAAAATTCATTATATGAAAACTTTCCCATTTGCAATGCAATAATCTTAAAAAAAAAAAAAAAAAAAAAAAAAAAAAAACAATACATTAATCTCTTGAAAAAGGAAAATTTATATTACTTCTTTTAAACGTATTATTTTACAAGCTAATAAAATATATCAAACTGTATGATAGTTTAGGTTTATATTATAATAGATAATTTAGATATTTTAATTCTTTCGAATAATTGACAATAGTGCAATAAGATAAACATTTTTCTTACAAAACATTGCCAAAATTGTAAATATTTTTGGTTCCTCTCCTTTTTGAAAATTGTGATTGTCATTGTTTTTTTTTTTTCGTTACCTTGGTCACACCCAAAAGGATGTTCACCCTTTTCACGAACGCATAGATACGGCCTTGGACTTTATGTGTAGAAAGCTGCGCGCGCATTGCGCGTGTCCACCGCGCAACAACAAAAATACACCGCCCGGCGCATTTGACGGCGAACAGTTGACGCGCGAGCATCTCTAGAGGCACGGGTCGTTGACGTACCGAGAAAAGGCGAAAAAAAAAGAGACACGTAGAGGCGAAACGAAACCGGGAGGTAGCTGTCGCAGAGCATTCCGCTTTTGCACGCGAAAAATCGTACGCCCGCAGACGCGCGACGTCGTTTTAGACACAAAGCTTGGTACATACAGTGAGAGTGACGAAAATGGTGTCCGGCGGTATGACTTGCGTGAAGTATCTGCTATTCCTCTTCAACCTGATATTCGCGGTGAGTGACGCCCGTGGATAACGGTGCTAAAATGTTTCTTCCCCGCTTCGTCGCCGCGACCAGATGTAACGGAAAACGACGATGCACGCCCGTTTCCATTATTCGGAGCGCTATTCTCGGCGTTTCATTGCGTCGCGTCGGGTGGTCTTTGTTGTATATATCGGTCAAATCCTAGAGCAGCATCTGGGGATCGCTAATCTCGACGCACTAACATGTCTAGCGTTAGAACTCGGTGACATCGACGGATCTTCGTATGCTAATGAGCAATGAATCATTGATACTTCGATCACCACTTTGTAGAAAATAGCTTTCGTTAAATGCATTTACAGATTTTTCGAATATTTGGTTATTTAGAAATAGAATATTTCAGATTTGCAGGCTCATACTATAATGATTAATATTTATTTTGTACATGCGTTTAAATAACAGATGCAATATATTTACAATTGAATAAAATATAGGAATAATTCATCAATATGTTTTGTCCAAGTAATAATTATTTATTTTTATTTATTTATTACAATTAATTATTTCTGAGTCATTCATGAGAAACGCAAGGCGTATCAGCTACGCAGTATAAGACTTAATATGTAATTCAATAACAAAAGAGAACTCGATATCTTTTTTATCATACGTGTATTCCAAGTTTTAAAAAATTCTCGCGGCTTTTGTATATCGATTTATATTTGATCTAATGCTGATAATATTCAATCGATATTGTATAGCGTGACCCAAACCGTATCGTGTTTCTGAATAAATGATATAAGTACGAAGGTATCATTTCGAAGGAAACTTTGTGTGGTGCTTATGCTTCAGAACCTCGGTGCAAGTGTTATGGATGAAGCGATCGATACTTTCAACGTTTAATGTAATCTAGAGTTTGTCCGTCCAACGCGACCGACACCGTTAAAACATAAAATATATTATATAAAATCATATTATACGAGAAAGGGAAACACACACACATAATTAAATACTTTTTCTTATCTAATAAAATATTTGTCCGGGAAAGTAAAGAAAGGAAGCAAACGGTGATATAATATTACGTGAGTAAACGTTTCATTAGAAAGTATTTGCCGATTATGTTGTATAAATTGAAAATGTTGATAAATAATTATTTATTTTAGGATTAGCGTTTCCCAGTCCCTGTTGCGTTCCACTTATAATGTAGATACAACAAGAGAACGGTGTTAAACACGATGATGAAAGAATTTATTAAAGAGCTGTGATGAAACTACTGAAAGTCGCGGTTGTTTGACAGACTTGCGTACATAAAACACCGACGCCATATATGGACGGTCGAAAGGATCTAGGACACAAAAACAACCCCGCAAAGGACGACGGGGCGGGCGTATCTACTGTGCGCGTCCCTTATTGCACATTTAATGATCCGTCCAGCGTGAAATGCCAGCGTAGCGGTTGTGTTTATACAGAACGTCCCAGAAAAAATACAAAGTCGACGTATAACTTTATTTTTTGTCAAATTTGGAGTCGATTCTCTCTGATCTCAACACTCAATGTCTTAAAAATTTGGTCTCCATTTTATCAACCAAGATTTTATTTAAGTAAAATTTGCTTCAAACTAGCGTAATGGTCTGCATTAAAGATTAATTTCAAAAATCTTGCTCTCAATCACATTTTTATCGAAGAAAATTCAGCTCTGAATTTCAAGAAAAATCATTACACGTCTATGTACACTTCGTTTTCTGGGGCACCCTGTATCAGTCGTGGTCGAGCGTCCTCGTTGCTGAAACTTTTCAATAAATTCATATCTAAAGTCACCTAGTAAAGTCACCTGTTAGCGACGGCGTACGTGCGTTCTTCTAGCGGACTATCTAGGCCTCGCTCGAGGGCGAGCGAATCGACCGGTCGGTTGGATTCGATTTCGTAGTCTCGAGGCTTTGTAACGCGTATAACGTAGGTGAGCCGTAGGTGAAACACGTTGGTAACCATAAGCGAGGGGAGAGGTCTATACTTTAGCGGACGGCGACAGGCTTGAATATGGATGATGTCGCAGTCGCGCGTCCTTTTTTCCCCGGCCATAGAATGCCGGCGGTCGCTCGCGCCTGGATGTCTTTATTTAGCCAGATCCAGCAACAGTGTGCCGCACCGTCGACTAATTTTCCAGAGAGTCGCGGCTTTGATTAAAACCGATCCTTCCGCGATCGACGACATTTTACGAAGCGCAGCGATGCGAGAAGTGTACGCTTGAAATTTTAGAAAACCTCCCGCATCATTATTTGCACCAACAGCTTGGAATAATTAAATTAAATAAACCGAGTTTGTAATGATTCGCTATCCCTTCTTATATACCTGTAGATTCTAATTTTATCAATGTAAATGAAGAACAATCGAGTTATTAGCTCTAAGAGCTATTGAGAGTCTTTAACGAAGTTCTTAATGAAAAACTTTCATGTTTCATTATTAATATATTCACGAGTAATTTCAGTTCTACGTTCTTATAACTTTCGCGTGACGATGGATCTTTTGTACTGATAAAATCGTACTTTCGTAATCTACTCACGAAAATCTCGAAATTCTCACGTAATTATCTCATTGAAAGTTACTCTAAAGAACGTAACTATAAGAGTTTCATTCTTCTTGTTAGTAAACAAAGCAGCTCTTACGCGATCATGCTTTCCATTTAGAATCAAGCACGGGAGACAGGTATTCGATTGTCTGTCCTAATTATATACTCAAGCTGTCACAGCTTGAGTCCGTCACAGCTCATTGAAATTTTTATACAGGATGCTGTCTTAAGTTTTTTTTTTTCTTTTAAGATTTTGACAATAAGAGTAACATTGATTTCATGTATTATTTCAGATCACTGGTATCGTGTTTATCTCGGTTGGTGCGGTGATTCTTGTCGTTTATAATGGGTACAACAACTTTGTGGATAGTTGGTTCTTCGCAGCGCCAGTGTTAATGATAATAGTCGGCGTCATAGTCTTCCTAGTATCATTCTTTGGATGCTGCGGCGCTGTAAAGGAGAATCATTGCATGATAATTACGGTATGATGCTAAAAATACTATTTTGTATATATATGGGTTTTTTCTCATTCCTTTTTTTAAGATGCTTTTATGATGCATAATTTAAAAAAAGTAAAATTAGATTAATTAAAAAAATCTTTATTGTATATGAGAATTTGTGTAGAAATATAAAATTCCACACTTGTGTAATAATTTTGATTTTTATTAGTTCTCAGTTCTGCTGTTGCTGATATTCGCCCTGGAACTGGGTGCCGGAATCACTGGTTACATGATGAGGGGCGAAGTTTCCAACATGCTAGAAAACCGTCTTAACAGCACTTTACGAGCGTACAACACTAATGAGGACATTCGTCGTTCATGGGATATTATGCAACATGATGTGAGCTTACACTAAATGATCTATACTTAAGTACATTCTTTTTCTATTCTGTAAGAAATAACGTATAATACCAACGTATCCAGAGCAAAATGTTTACTAAATAAACAAATTGATTGTCTTATGCATTTATAAGTCGTAATTAATTGGAAATATGCTTTCAGTTGCAATGCTGCGGTATCGACGGCTTCACAGATTGGCAGCGTTATGGCGGTTACTCACCCAATAACGCTCCTAATTCCTGCTGTAAGGAGATTCCTTCTCCTCAGAACAAATGCGACTCGAATTCGATCAATACGATTTACAACGAAGGCTGCATGAACAAACTGCAATCTGCTATAGAAAGTAACGCTATGATCCTGGGAGGAGTGGGCATAGGCATAGCCCTCATACAGGTAAGTTTAAAATCGTATTATTTCGCGTTATATTAAAAAGAGTATTTGCGATTTAAATTATGCGTAAAGGAATATTTTCATATTTATTATATATGATATTTTCTTGTTATTTATACAAATAATATTTCAAATCTGTAATAGCGTTTCCAAATGTATACGTGATAATAATGAATGAAGTTTAAAGTTGATTACTAAAGGAAATATAAAAAAAAAACTTAATTTCTTTTTTCAGTTGATTGGAGTAATCTTTGCGTGCTGTCTGGCTCGCTCAATTCGCCGCGAATATGAGACTGTGTAAGCTGATAGACACAAATATTCATTGCAACAAGCCTAAAATGCACTTGTATAAAACTTGATCTATCACACGAGCTGTCACTATTTTTTTCTTTGTTTCGTTACCATTTAACTCTTAAGTCCGTGCACAATTATACAAAAAAATATATTTTTTTTCTTTTATTGCTTGTATTCTTAACACATTGCAAAGAAGCCGTTCGTAATCAGTTTTCGTTAAAAAGTGCGTGATAGGCAAACGAGTCAAAGATCTTTAAAAAAAACCTCACTGCTATTTTGGTATTTGGGCCTTGCCTTATCTACAGGCATAAAATGTCACACGTATGTTTTGTATGTTTTTACAACAAGCTATCGAAGAACTTTGTATATTAATGATAACGGATTATTCTGTTATTCAGAGATTATACTGCATACATCTTTTTTTATAAACGTATATCTAATTCGTTCAGTATCATTATGATACTGTTATATAGTTGAGCCACGATAACTATAATATCGATAATAAAATTTTAGAAGTTACGAATCACTACGAAATGTGTTAAACGCTTTCTTTTTCGTTCAATATCTGCTTTACATAAGTAATTGTTTAGCTTATAAGTGTATTTTTGTCGTTCCTATCTACATATAATTTGCTTCACAATCTTTCGCATGACGCAATGTATATTGATATTATTGTCGAGGCTCCGCTATAATACTAAGCAGTACTATTTTCAAGCTTTAAAAGTATCCATATCTTTTAAAGCTTTATTTTGCTTTTAAATCGATTTGTGGCAAATCGCTTTTGTGACAGCATATTTGAGAACGTCTCAATATGAATATATAGCAGTTTTATTTTTTTTATATTCAATATAGAATACAAATACTAAGATAAGTAAATACTAAACTAAATATAAATGTATTGCTATATTTTTATATATTACCATTGCGTAATATATCTATTTTCGTTAGAAATATTTCGTTAAACATTTCAAACATTATTGAGCAATCTATAAAAATAGTTTGTTTTCTTCTCTGACATAAAATTTACAGTAACAAAAAGAGAGGCTTTAAGTAATTCTAATATGCAAAATGAAGTATTAAAATGCATGGATACTTTTTCAGCATTAACCCAGTGGTGTATGATGAAGGGCATTTCCTTTATTGCATGTTATATAATCCATTCTAAGGAAATTACTTCAACCAGTTAATAAAATGTACTATACTCATGAAAATGTGAAATGCAAAGGAAACTGTGATTGAAAGTAACATGTGTCATTGCGCAATTAATTTTATTTTTAATTTTTTTTAAATTTCTAATTTGTGGCTAAATGTCTAGTCTAATAAAAAGCTTCCTTCTTTAACAAATAAAACAAAATTAAAAAGTGTTAGTATAATTTGCAATCGCACATTAATTACACATATATATGCTGCGTTCAATACAGACAAGAAGTACTATATATCTAACATTAAGATATTTTGTTGTTTACCACAATGTAAAGTTTACATAGTGTTACAATCATGAAAATTGTCTTATGAGATGTATAAGTGTATAGAAATAGACAAAAGTAATAGTTGTTCATGTTATACGAATTATAACAAAATTATTTCAACAAAGTCATTTACACTCAGTTAAACGGTAATAGAATGGCTTCAACTTCATTATCGTAGATAATATAAAGTGTCGTTTTTCAAGCCAGTACTGGCAATAAAGTACTTGTTATTAAAATAATTTTTAATCGAATATTAAATACATTTATAAAATACATCATATAAAAATCATGAAGTTATTTTTTGTTTTTCGTTGTTTCATGTATACTATATCGCTTAATATGCCGTAATATACTAGATGTTTTTTCAAATATTTTATGTTCATGCCTAGTGATGTAATATTTTTACTTACAGCGAAACCACAGCACACTGATCTGCCATCAATTAGGAGGCATTTTTCATAATATTGTTCATCATACATTGGTTGATAAATACTTGTAGATTCATTACGACCGTAATCATCCTTATTGTGCTTATAAATATATACTCAAAGAGGAATGATGTCACAAGTATTTAGTGTACAGTGATAACTTAAGTTAGTCATGTTTCGGTATTTAATGCATGTAAAATTACATATTTTTGAAGAGAATGCAAAGTAGCATTTCTACTTACGCTTGTTTCTTATAAAAGAAATAGAAAAAAAGAACATTTCATTGAATATGAACTTTTCTTATTAAATTTAATACCAAATTACTGCCAATATCTGCCAAAAATATATATCACATGCCATAAGAACCAAAAAAAAAAAGAAAAAAATGAACTAGTCGAAAATGTATACGATCTCATTTACAGAGATTACCAATGGAACATTGATCAATTTTGGCACATGTATGACGAGGTGCCTGCTAAATGATGTGCCATGATATAATGTCTGACAAATCTATTTTTCCATGTGATATGTTTATACGTAAAGTTTGGTAATCTTTTATGCATTACGTACAGTCTCTATCATCATAAGAGATAACGTTGAATGTAGCCATCATTCCTCTTAATTTTTGCCAGGTTAAAAGAAAAAAAAAAGAAATAATGAACTATCTGCATAATCTTCCTCAGAGTGCAGAATGGACAAAATGTGTAGCGATTAATTATAAACTTGTGTTCTGATTATTTAATACTATCATAACATAGCGTACATTATATTTGAGTGCATCTTGGCATCTATTCTCATGCCTCCTCATCGATAAAATACAGTCTCTAATACTTATAATATATACGATGTTGTAGTAATCTTGTATTAAATTTGTAATAATTTTCCGTGTTCTCTGCGAACAAGAAAAGACAATGTACTCTTATTCGTAATCGACGGTGCCCCGTGAAATATATATACATATATGTATATATAGCGTCATTGTGCGATATCAGTTGTGTGTACACAAAAATTCTTTGTACATTATGTACTGATATGTAACGAAATTAGCGTATCTTGACTAATAGCTCATTTAAATGGAGTATCGAGTGGAAGCTAACTAGCTGTACCCTGTCAATAATTTAGCTTATAATGTCAGTGAACTCTGATATTGATCCTCTTGTGCTTCATTGTACTGTATGCTACTGACAGTTTATTGCCACAAAAATATCTGTGTGCATTTAATACTAAGTTTATTCATATTTGGGACCAAAGCAAAAAAAAGATCAAGATTATTTTTGAGTAATAAGTTATTTCAAAAAAGAAATAACAGATTGAGAACAATTATGTGATATTGTCAGAACTATGAAGACTTTTCTTAAACTTTTCATTTGATGCCTTTTTCCAATATTAAAAGAATTTGTCATAATATTGGAAAAGGAGTTCACAATGAAAATGAAATTATTATATAATAATGCATTTCTACTTATTCTCACTTGCTTCCATTTAAAGGAGAAACATTCTTTAAATGTAATTTAAAATTGATACTAATTGGATGCATTAAATAACATTACATGCGTTTACATGCGGTTACATTGAAAAATGTACAAATTCTTCTATTCTTCTTTTTAGATTTTCATATAACAAATAAGAGAAAAAGATTTAGAAATTTCACTGCGTCTTGTCGATTTCACGAATTCAAGTACTACAATTTAAATTTAATTATTATGTAAGTTTCTGTAGTCTTGTGTATACAATAAGTGAAAAATTTAAATATATTGCTTTTGGATATGTACTAAACATTATTAGAACATATGTGTCTGAAAAAATGGAGAACTAATTATCACAAAGAATTTATATGTAAGAACAGAGTATTAATATATATATTTACTATTTTAATGTACTGTTAAAATAATTTAAATTTACTATCGGCACACACACATACACAGTGGCAAATGCACAAGATCTCAGAAATAAACATGAACGTCCGTAGAATAATCATAGCAGCAGAAACATAGAAGTAATAGCTACGCGAGATATTAAAGTGTGCCTAACATAGTAACGTTTATGTTATAAGTTAATAGAGATTAGAATGCATTTCAATATTATCTACCGACCGATGCGATGTAGCTTCGAAACTAGCACTTGTCTAAAATTTGCTCTTTTTAATTGTATAAAATCATCCGTTTGTCAGACTTTTTAATTAAAATTTTAGACTTTGTATGTATTAATTACCAGGCAACGCAAAAGACTGATGAAGATTATTGTAATCAGTATTAACTAACATTGGTATTTTACATACAATATATACATATTATATAAATATATATACACATACACACACACACACACACACACAACCACAAAACACACAAATGACTGTACTAAATTCTATTTTGGCCGCTTATGTTATTTTTATTACTATAAACATAAATTATTAGTCAGTGTCGTTAAAGTGTTACAAGCGTAATTTCGTTATTATGATAAAACTAATTTACGGCATTTTAGGAGTCAACATGTCCTTATATTAGCACATATTCATCTAGCTTTTATGTATACTAATAAATTTAATGACACAAAACACTAATTGTTTTTAATTAAAACCTTCCCCATTTCTCTTATAATCCTTTTCACGTTTTACAAATTGAAACAAATTTAAGAATATCACAAGTCTCGTATATGTAATTAAAAAATTATGTTTAAGAAAAAAAATAAGAGGAAAGGTAACAATAATGACCACCAGTTATCAGTGTATAATAAACTGTATTTCATTTGTTTCATATCATTAAAAGATCATTATTAACCAATATATAAGACCGATCTTATACACTTACTTTTTTGTTGACATTCATATTCTTTATACACGCGAATAAAAGAGCGTTTATGGATCAACTGACTTTCCTCCGCACTGCAATTTTAGATCATCGAAACTATGTGGATAAATGCCAGAGTGGCTTTTTCCCTTTATTCGTCCTTTTCTTTTTTTTTTACAAGAGAGTATAACTTTCAGAGTCCAATAGAGCCGGCTCTCGTTTTCAGCGTGACTATATTTAATGTGTATACGACATTTAGAAATAACGAGATCCATTATGTCTTGTTAGTATTTTCAACTGCACATAGGCATGCATATGTACTCTCTATTTTATGTATAATGATCTATTTACAGTCCCGAGGCAGAATTATCTGATAGATATTCCATTAAAGATGAAACTGCGTACTAGCTTAAAAAATATAAAAAGCCAATATCTGTCGACTAAATTAAAGTCTGAGAATATTTAATTTTCGTATATAGGAACTTACGCGAGTCGCATATTTTGCACATGCATTTCACGCAATATTTACATTCCTCAAATTTAGTGAAGAAAAACATGTAAAGCGTCTTCTTTACATAATACAATTACCTGTACAATATCAGTATTCGTTAAGCAAGTTTCTCTCCTTTATTTCATTTTTATATAAACTATAATTACTCTTACTACCTGATATTTTTTTTCAAGCAACTACTTATCTTTTAGAACAGATATGTGCAAAGTGACCTCAATCACTTTGTCTGTTAGATGATGTAAAAAATTATGAGAAATTATTTAGGGAACATTCAGCATATACCTGATACATTGGAGACAATAAAGGTTCATATTTCACATACTCAGATTTTTAGGTTTTGAGTATGCAACAAAATTGATATGTAAGTATTTTTAAAAATAGAATTAAATAATACAAAAAATTTTTAAAATGTGTAGATTCCACCAACATCGGTTAGCGCCAGTCGTCAAATTTTCTCTATCTACATTATAACTAAAACTATCTTCTATAGAAAGAGACCGCCAACCGGAATTAGTGAATCAAGGGGTTTGATGCAATTGTTTATAAAACTTGAATTTGTGTATATACGTATGTACGTATATAAAATATAAATTCAGGTCAAAATTCCAAGTTTTTTGAATGTACCAGTGTAAGTATACAGGAAATAATATTTATTTACAATTACAATATTTTTACGAATGGGCCCAGACAATCGAACTGTGTCTGATAGCACGAGTATCGTGTCTGCTTCATGCAGAACGCCACAATCATTGTGAACACAAAATTGTATGCAATAGTTTAGCAGCAGCTAAATTATAGTTTACATATTATTACTCTATATCTTGAGTCAGATGAGAGTCACGTATGAACATAATAATTTAAATTTAAGACAAGTCAATATAAAAATATTGGTTTAATTATGGAAAAATGGGCCTCTATATTCATGCCTTATAATATATATACCTACATTACTTACAGTTTAGATTATTAATATTGTTCATGTTATCTCCTATTCTAGAAACATTAGCAGCATTGTGGGTAGTATTGTTGATACACAATACAATCCATTTAAATACTATCTCATTGTAACTTTTTAAGTGAAAAACTCCTGTCTCATTATGCCCTAGCACACTGTTTTGACACACTTGCACGCACATTCATTCGTCTTAGGCACATTACACACGCAACATAAAAGCACAATCACAATCATGTTTGAGCTGATCTCAAACGTTCTTTGCTCATTTGTATTTTCTGATCATCATGATCATAGATAAAAATGTATACAGACTACATACGAGACAAGTTGTATGAGAGCAGCAGCGATCATAAGTTGGCATGAGACTAATAGGAGTTTAAAATGAATTTAAGAACATGCTCATGTGGCATAGCGCTTGGTCCAGAGCCGTGCTATGCGATCGTGTTCTTCTCTATTTTGAAGATATTGCGTAGCTATACTACCTACCAATGGATCAGCTGTAAAATAAAATCACATGAGAGCTACGTAATAATTATGTAAAGAAAAATATAATACAAAATGTAATCTTGAAAAAAAAAAACTGAAAATAACACTCATTATTTATAATGCGCATATTGTATATTGAGTTTAATTATCATAGATATGCTCACCTGGATTACAGTCTGTTAAGAGAGAACATATTGACAATAAGACTTTTGAAATTGTCAATGCAGGAGACCAATTATCCTTTAATATATCCAAGCAGATTACTCCTTGACTATTTATATTGCAATGATAGATGCGTGTTCGGAATGTAACCTGTAGGAAAAACACATTTCTGTGTTGAAATATGATGATAATAAAGTATACACTAGACATGAGATATCTTTCAATATTTAATCATAACAATTTAAGAGAGATTGCAAATTTTATAAAAATAATAGAATTTTTAATGTACAAATGCACAAGGAAATATAAATATAATATTCATTAGCCTTTTATATATAATTATAAATTTATCATACCTTAGGAGGTTTAAAAGGATATTCTGGTGAGAAATGTATATCAAGAAAAAACACACCACCCTCGTAAACCGAACCTGGAGGACCTAATATGGTAGAAACCCACTCATACAAGTTATCACCTTTTGGTCCTGCACTGTAAAATAAAATTTATTCTATTATACATTCTATTTTTACAAAGTGTAAATAATTTAGAATCTGCACACACACGCACTACTAACTATAATTTTTTAAATGTATTTTAAAAAGAGGAAATCGCTTATAATTAACAATAGCAATATACCTGCAATTAGGAGGTGGATCTAACGTGATTTCTGCCAATTCTTTTTGTATCCTGACAAAAATATTAAATAAGTTTAATGGCTACAAATCAGTATAATATTTATCACATTGGCGTAAATATATTTAAATAATAAATATTGCGAGATATATAAAAGTATATTGCATTACCTTTTAGCAGAAGTTCCTAAAGCTTTTGACATCTTTGGGTTTGGCTTAGCTTCTTTACTTTCTGGTTTATTGTCTGCCAAGGAGGAACCGCGTCCTCGTCCAGTTCCGCTCGATCCTGCTCCTGATGACATGACTCTGTGACAAAAACACATATATTATTAATTACACACAAATTTCTGTATTTATTAACTCAATAATAACAAATAAAGGGATAAACTTATATAAAAAACCTAAGAATAATTTTTGAGCATAAAAATAGAAATATAGAAGACACATATTGCAATTTAGTTTTAATTTTGTTTTGCTTAGATAATATTTGCACAAGTTAACTAACTATTAGTTAATATATAATGCAAAAATATAAATTTATTCACAAAAAGTGTAATAAATATCACTGAAGTATGTTTTATTCATATAATTGTCACATGTGCAAAAGCAAATAGAATGCAGCAATCATTTACTGTTCACATTTGCATTTCATTGTTTTTTCCGGCAAACTGAAATCATAATTAACAATTACGTGAAGCATTGCAAGTGCATTATAAATTAGTAAGACACTATGATCAAACATCGAGTGATTGTTGTTAAATTTCGTATGCTCACAAGATAGTAAAACAAAGAATTTTAATCGACACACACGATCCCCCGCTCTCTCGCTTGCGGAAATATAAACATCATGCAGTACTTGATCGTTGCCGGATAAATATCTCGTCACTCGATATCTGCGTGTTGTATTTTTAAACGGCGTCGGGAAGCACAGCGCGACGGGGCCGGCCAAGGAGAAATCATCGCGTCGTCCGAGAAACAAATCACTCACGAACGTACTTTCCGCACAAAAGACACGCGGCCGAAAACTACTACGAGAAAAAAAATTGTTTTTAACGTCATCGTGTTATTGTCTCTTTCTCAGGGAGACGCGGAATACAACGCGTCTAGGATTGATTTATCTTTCGAGCGAACGAATTCGTTTCTCTCTCTCTCTCAGGCCGAGTGTCTCTTGTCGCGGCTCTTGTGCGGGCAAGACGAGACTTAAAGCAAATACCGGGAGCACAGAAGGACGTACGTTCCCGGCACGTCGTCTACGTCGTTCTCCCTCTCCTTCTTCTATGGATGTCCGTTTCTTTTCGGACACAGTATCACTCTTTTTGTCCTTCCTAACCCTCTCTCGCGCCCGAATTCGCTCCGCGAGTTGATCCGCGCGAGGTGGAGGCTGTGGGAGCGGTGCGCGCTGCACCAGCGATATGTACCTCGTGTTCGGTGTGTCCACGCCGTGTTTGCTGTCGTCGCGCGAGCTTAGCTTCGCCGGGTCGACAGTGGAGGGAAGTAGGGGGCGGGGAAGGACCGGCCGCCGCTTCAGATGCGAGACTCCGATGAATCTCTCGGCGCGGAACAACGGTTGTGGCGCGGGATGGCGAAGCCGTGGCGGATCGCAGGCGGAATACGCGCGACGACGATTGACGGCTGCTTCGTTATTGTTCGCGAGTCACGCGGCAGCGCGTAGAGAGATCCGCACGAATAACGCACCCTACGACGTGACCGCACCGCTGTTGCCGCGGCTCTCGACACAGCGGCAGCAGCACTCACGAGGAACGCGCAGCGCACGACGCACCGGCGCGACACAATCGCGACTGTCCGGCGAATCGACGATGACGACGGCGACGAAGACGGTCGTGAACACGCGCGGCGACGATCGGATGCGACAAAGGCGCTGGAAAACAACAGTGGACGAGCGCACAAAGGCAGCGGATTTTGAATCGCCCTCGCGTAATGCCTTGTCCCGGAAGCCCAGCGCTTCTCAGGCCCTCGTCCTCGTATCGCGACCATTCATCTCACTTTCGTGTCCCGAAATCGCGATCGCGGCGTCCTTCTTCCGTCCCACGGCGAGCGCCGAAACGTGCGCATCTCCGATGCTCGCCGGATGTTGACTCTGTCGCCGCTGCGGCGGACGCTGGTAATCCACGTTTTCGTGGGCGCTGTAATCGGCCCGCGAAAGCCGGCGCGCCTGGCGCTACCGGCATTCACGGCGGCGGCATTGCCCTCACGCACACGATTCGACCTCTGACCGGCCGGAAAGTTCTTCAGCACGACAAGAGAGCGCGACACTGTCTCTTGTTCAATCCGCTGAAGATTCAATAAGAACTTCAAGTCTTTAGATGTATATTTAATTAATCACGGCTGAATTAAAAAATAATGTTAAACTGACGTTGTTTCTCATGGTATGTTCTTTATGTTTGCTTATATAAAGAACGCTCCTATACGAATTAAATTAATTTTAAGAGCGACATAACTCCTTTTTTTTAAAAGAAATTTAAAAAGAAACAACGTTTATATAAAGCGAGAGCATGTTGTACAAATTAACGCATGACACGCATGGGTTTGTACTGTATTTTATTAATATTTTCGACAAATCTTTCGTAGTTTTACGGAAACCTTAAATCCACTTATGAACTTTGTCTTACAATTGTGTTGCATACTTTATTAATTTACATTTTAATGTGTATCGGATCGCAGTACATGAGATATTCATTTCTTACGTTACTACTCTGCCTTTGAACAGGTACTTCACATATTGCGATCCAATATTTGCTAATCTAGATATTGGATTTCCGGATATCGTCTATCTACTAGTAATCGGAACTGAAAACAGACAGTGTGCATCGATCCGGATGAATAATATTAGCGCAGGCGGTCTATTCTAACGCTACATGTTTTGTCCATCGTAACTATGACTACAACTTACTAAGGCAAGGAGAAGTCGACGCAAATGTGCGAATTTTCGACGCTGCTCGGATATTAAAGACAATTTAGGCAAAATGAATGATAAAGATGATAGTGCTTGGGTATTCGATTCCTTGATCGGATTTCTGCAAGGCCCCATTTGGTCCGCACCCCTGCTGAGCTTCATCGAGGAAAAGTCTCTTGGTTCGTAGTCACATTGTTTCCTTCAATAAGACTTGTAATTTCTTCCACTGAAAATTTTAATGCGTAATTAAAAACAAATTTTACGACATTCTTTCTATTTTTAGCGATTCATATTTACTTTATCAATATATTTTGTATTATAAGTCGTTTTTAATTTCGATGCAAAATAGACGAACGCATTATTATAAATACAAATTGTATTTTAAAATATGTTTTTCGGATTACGCTTATATTTTAAAATCTAGTTTGCATATTTCGAAATATATACTTGCAAGTGTAAAATCTGGTTTGCAGCGGAAATAGCTCTCGCAAATTTAATGTAGTAAGCTGTTCAATTAAATGCAAATGTAATGCTATAAATAGATATAATTATGCCTATTATGTTATATAGTTTTTGAAGCAAATACCGAAGATTGCGAAGAATATCGAAAGATATATCAAGAATATAAAAATTTGGTTGATTTGTTGCTGGGATGCTTTATGGAAGATATGGGTATCACACCAGAACAATTTGAACATGCGTGCAGCGTTAACAGAGATACAAAGATTCCCATACAATTTCAACAAGTATGACTATTATATCTTCTAGATTATGTAGATAAAATGTTAGCAATGTTGGCAGATTGACAGCAAATTTGATCAAATTGCTAACATTTTGCTTACTGTGTTACACTCGCATTTGTTTCGTATAATTAAAAAAAATCTCTCATGCATTCCAAAACAAAAGAAGGTTTGCATATAGATTAAAATTTATGTTATATAAAAACTTAGGAATAGTAAAAATAATACATATTGCTTGATTGTGCTTTGTGTTGACAAAAATCCCATCGTCTTCCTTTCTAGAATTATATGTTTTATTATATATATTTTGTAGAACCTGTTCGAACAAATATGGGCGGCGAATGAGTATGAGATATTCAAAAGAATGATGATACAGAAAAACTTGGAGCTCCAACTGCAGGCGTTAAATATGATCGAGCAAAAATATGGTCTTACACCTGCTTCTCTCATATACGAGGATGGTTTCATTGACGACGAATTGGTCATGGAGGATTTGATACAGTATGTCGTATTATATATTAAAATACACAAGTCAGCGTTGCCGTTTTTATTCAAATAAAAAAACCATTTATCACGCAAAATAATAAATAATAAAAATAATAAACAAAATAAAAATAAGAAACAGTTAAACAGTTCGTAAAAATGGAACAAAATAAACGAGAATGAACGGAGATCAATTATTTTTTGTATTATCTGTGCACAGGAAACATGCTCTGGAAGAGGATCAGAGCGAGGAGGAACCAGGTATATCCTCCGAAACAACACTGATTGCTGAACACGAGCGTTTAGCTGCCGAATATCACAACGAAAGGGCATTATTGGAAGAAGCATTGAGAAAGTCGAAAGACGACTCCGGGAATTCGTCGGATAACTCGACAGAAGATGTTGAATGTGCCACCGTATCTGTCGAAAAAGACTCATCACACAAATTTTCTCAACTCAGAAAGTCTAAGCCTCTCAAACCAATACCGACTTCAAAAAAGGAATCCGATGAAGATGAGGTATTTATTTTTAATTTATTTATCCTTATATGATTTATATTAACAAGTACAAATTTTTTATAATAATGAACAGATTTAAAATGCCAAACGCACGACGATATTGGGAGATAAAAATGTATTGCATTAATTGCAGATGAATACAGAAGATATGAAAAAGAGGCAAGAATACCTGAAAGCTAGACGAGATAAACTTGTAGCTTTGAAGAAGGAAGCTAGGAGTCATAAGCTAGAAATGAACAACACGCGACCGAGTTCAGCAAGAGTAGTTGCCGAAGCGACTATGAAAGGGCAACAAGAACTACAAGCAGCACAATCTGTAGACCCTTCAATACTTAGCGTACGAAGGGCTCTTGCAGCGCGACTGAAAGCCGAAGTTGTGCATAAGTAAATTTCATTTCGTATGATATTGTTTTTTCATAATTGTAGATATAAGTATCAAGATCGCTATTCCAGTAAAATGCTTTACACACAAAAGACTAATTACTAATTGTGATATCCAGAGACAACGTAGTGTGTTGTACGCAATTAAAGAATTTACTTGGAAGATATTAGACTTAGCTTTCGGGAAATATATAATGTGCGAGAAAGCTGCAAGTTACTTTCATATATCTACGTTAGTTTATAGACATTTTTATTTCTACATTTTTACAACGCTTTTTATAAAGAAAGGGAAAGAGAGAAAGAGAGAGAGAGAGAGAGAGAGAGAGAGAGAGAGAGAGAGAGAGAGAGAGAGAGAGAGAGAAGAAGAAGTAAGTAAAGTAAGTAA